ACTTCTGTCTGTTTGGGACAGAGAACTAGAAAAAGAACCACAGAATAAACCCAAAGTGAAAAAAAAAAGGAAAAGAAAGATAAGAGCAGGAAATAATGAAATGTAAAACAAAGATGAAAAAAGTAAAGATACATACGAGAGAGAGAGAGAGATTAAAAACAAGGAAATAAGACAGACAAAATCTGGAATAGCTGTTACTTTAGGTGTGATGGGGTGAACCAGGGATGGGTTACCCATGACCTGTGTATCACATACATACTTTTGTATGTATCAAATATGCATAACACATATATGTGTTATATAAGTATTTAAACATATACACTATAGAAAATTGGAGAAATGCCAAAATTATTAAGGAAATTAGAACTTGCCTCTAGTCTGAATCTTAACTCTATTGCTCTTTTAACCATCTTAGAGGAAACTGTTTCTGAAATGCCTTTTTTTAATTGCTCTCTGAAAGAGTACTTTTAATGTATTCAAACCTGCTTTTATGACTCCTGGTTATTTGCGCACAACCATGATTGTGCGCCCTAAGACGCATTGCAACGGTCGCCCTCCCTGCGGGGTGTGTCCCTGTAAAGAAGTCTCCAGGCTGCTGAGTGTTGGCGTTTAGTTCCTGGTTGGTTTGTTTTCTGTTAGGTTGTTTTGGGATAATTCTCATCACTCCATTTTCTTACACTCTTTGTCTACCCTCTGGGCCCATGTTTAATCGGCCGTCCCCCCCCGCCCCCCCCGTTTGGTGGCTCTCTCGTGTGTCCCTCTCCTCTCAGGGCCTCTGGCACGCGGTGGCTCCTGCTGCGCCGGGGTCTCTCCCAACTCTCTTCTCAAGGTCACGCTGTCCCTGCCCTTTCCCAGCCCCTGCGCCCACACCTCGGCCCCCCGGAGCGGGGCCCGGCCCGCATGCAGCACCCTCTCCTCTACCCGCCCGCCCGGCAAATCCTGCCGATTCTTTGAACGGTAGCTAAGGGTCAGCTTCCGGGGAACCTGGCCCCCCTCAGCCAGCAGGACTCGGCTCTGACCTCCTGAGCCCCGGCTCACTGTCCACTCTGCACTGCCAGTACCTGGTTCCACTCTCTCCCCTCCCTGCCCGTGACGGCAAAGCCCAAACCCACCCTGAGGCCTCAGGTGCTGCAGCCGTTAGCATTCAGTCGCCAGTCACGTTGACCGGAGAAGACCCCGCGCATGGCTGACCCCAGGCAGCACTCAGGTGTTGGAGGGATGGGCACCCACGCGCAGAGCTAGTCACAGCCCGAGCCCCGCCTGTCTGATGGCACGGAGTCGGACTGGTTTGGAAAGGATGTCCTTGCCAAGTCGCTTTCCATCCCAGAACTTGAGGAGGGTCCCTGGCGCGCCCAGGGCCCGAGTCCCTGCTGCTCGTGGCCCTGAGCTCAGTGTGGCAGACAGGCGGGCGGATTTTACTCTGGGGTCGGGCCAGGTGGTGTTTTCCACACTTTGTCTTAGTCGTGAGACTCGCGTGAGAGAAATCACGAAACTTCGATGTTTGTTTAGTATGTCGACATCGGGCTTAGGAGGAGCTCGGGACACAGGCCACCATTTAGCTCAAGGCACACCCCCTCTGCAGGGTCATTTCCTGTGCCACTCTGCCTGGGCCCTGGGTGCCTGGCGGAGCATTGTTTCTGGGGTGTCTGTGAGGGTGCTTCCGAGGGAGATCGGTGCCCTCCCCGGCGTGAGCGAGCGTGCTCCCTTCCACTGAGGGCCTGGGGAGAACAAGAAGCCGAGGGAGGGAGGGTTGGTCCTTGCCTGCCCTCCTCCCATCCTGCCTGCTGCTGAGCCAGGACACCTGTCTCCTTCTGCCCGTGGACTCGGGTTACCCATCAGCCCCTGGTTCTCGGGCCTTCCGACTTGGACCGAATGATGCTGCCGGCTTTCCTGGGCCTCCAGCTGGCGGCCAGAAGGTGGTGGGACTTCTCAGCCTCCACAATCATGTGAGCCAAAATGTTCCTTTCTGTATACTTATCTCCGGTCGGTTCTGCTGCTCTGGGAAGCCTGGCAACACGCTCAACTCCTGGCAAGTACACGCCGCCGACGAGCCCTCAGCTCCGGCTGGAGGGTACACGCTGGCAGGTCCCCGCGTCTGCATCTGCGGGCTGAGGGACAGGCCGGCCAGGAGCCAGCTCGCTTTGTTCCCAGCTCCGTCTGTTCTCGATGAGCTTGGTTGGTGTTGTGATGACCTAACTTGATGACATTATGTGATATGATGAAATGAGTTACCTTTATATGGCCATTTCATTCAAGCTAATTACATACTTTCTTAATATTCAATAAAAGTGAGTCGTTAAAATGTCTAAATGGGGGCAAGTCAAATATAAAAAACAAAATGTACTGTAAAAATATGAACTTTTGGATTTAGGTTGTTTCTACATCTTTTGAGTCTTGGCTCTCAAGAAACCACAATCGCAAAGAAAACACTGCATTCTGAACATGGCTGATGTCAGTGTGGACAAAAAAGGGGTCACATGCTGGACGTGACAAGCTCAGGGGAGGCCCGCATGGCAGCCCTACGAACTCAGAGCCCTAACGTAACCCCACAGGGTGGTCTGAGGATAAAAATTCCTCGCTGAAAGCCAGTCAGGGCGGCAGCCGCGTCCTGGGCCTGCAGCTTCCCCATCAAAGGTCAGTTACCTTAACTGGGCCTGTGTGTGGTCTCTGTGCATCAGGATAACGTAGCCTTGCAATGTCGGAATAATCCCTTTTCCCAGTCCCATCAAGGTCCGCCCACTGCACCAGAGCCCACGTCCGCAGAGCTTCATGGTCTCCCTGCTCCTGGGATTCCACGTGTGCTGAAGATGCTATCTGTTAGCCACCCTGTCCCCACCGACGTAAAAGTATGTGTCTCTCCGTTTTGCTCTTCATCCAGCCTCGGAGGTTTTCCTGCTTTGCTTCCTCCTGCCTCCCTAATCTACCACCCATGGATTCCATGTACCTTCCTTCCTTTAAGTGAATCCTGTCTTTCCTTTTGGCATCTAAGAGAACATACCTTGTATTCTAACGTATAAAATAAGCCACAAAACTGCCCTTCTCTGGAGTGTTTTCTCAATTTGTTGAGATTTCGCTTCTTGGCAATTGTCACCAGTTTGGCTTAAACAAACTCAGAAGTTCTTACAGGTTTGGGCATTTCTTGTGCGATGTGTAAGAACACACAGAGTCTCTGTCAGAACGGTGTTTAAAAAAGGACCTTTGTCCCTCATCAGAGGCTAATAAGTCCATTTTTTCGGTTTTAGGTTAAATTAAAATAATGTTCTTTTCGATAAACGGGCCGCTGGTTAGCAAGGACACTCCAGAGCACACTGTGAACAATCTGGACGGAGTGGTCTGTGGCCCTTCCCTCCGTTCATGGGTCACAAGTCCCCAGGGGCCAGCTTGGCCAACCTCCTTTCTTCTCCTCGGGAGTGTCGGGCCCTGCTGGGGTCACCACCTTCTGAACAGCCCGAGGCCGCTGGGTCCCCGGGGCCCTGCCACCCAGCTCGCCCAAGAGCCGGAGGGAGGGCCGCGGGAGGAGGCCGCGTGCGCAGAGCACAGAGTCCGCCCCACGCACAGGGGCTCGCTTCACGAGGTGGCTACCCTTCCCCTTCTAATCGCCACGTGTTACTCCCACTGTGCGCCTGTTCACCTGCCTACAAAGGATGGCGTTTAATTCTGTGCACAGAAAAAGAAACAGGTTTTAAAAGGTCAGTGGTACTGCCTTCTCTGGGTTCCTGTCTTTACCCTTAGTCCAATGCTCTTCCAGGTTTGCAGGGGTGGAATTCTACCGCTCTGCCGGAGGCCTGCTGGGGTCTAGGCGTATCTGGAGACAAGAATATATGTGTGTGGGGGGGATCTTGAGAAGTACTGGCATCCCCTTTAAGGTAACTATGTCAGATGAGGTCATTAAAAGTGTTCAAGCAAGGGAAAATAATTTTTTTTCCAAAAGGAAGAGAGAGGCCACCTCTTCTGGCCAAGGAGGGCCAGGGGATTGGGAAGTTCGAGGTTTTTGGGTGCACAGGCGTCCACCCACTGTCTCCATTCCAGGCCTCGGGGTCCACCCCTTCCCCATTGTGCAACTTCCACAAAGAGACATGGCCGAGCGGAGGCGTGAACCTGTGACGCCATCCTGTAGCTCTGAGGGCCTGGGTTGGCGTCTGCTTTTCCGTGGCATCAGCTTGGCCGCCACAGAACTCAAAGTGTCTTGTAGGGCTTTTATAGGGAGCTCTTGACTCCCTTGGCAGTGGTTCAACTTAATATGTTAAAGCCCTAATCTTATTTTCTTTTTATAATTTCTCCAGCCACGTCAGAAGCTATCAGCCCAGCCCAGAGCTTCTGTGGTCCTAATTTCCGCTGCAGTGATCGAATTCAACGGTCCCTTGGCCTCCCACAGCCTTGCTTTGAAGAGGCACTTTATTTTGGGGACCTGCAGTGTAGTTTAAGTAACCGTTTTGCCATTGCATGCTGCGCATGGACGCTCTCCACACCCCGCTTCTCCCCGACAATAGTGCTGTCAATGTGTTGACCACAGTCACGTGGTTGAATGGACCGTATATTCCCATATTTGGGTATGTATTTCCTGGGTGGGGTCTTCTCATGGTTTCAAGTAGGATATTTATCTGTGTTTCACCAACAAAACAGAAACCACTCCAAGTGTTTCAAAGAGAGGCAATTTAAGACAGACACTTGTTTACAAAACTCTTGTGGCCAGGAGGGCAAGGCGCGCTAGAATGAGAAGAAGTGTTTACCCAGAACCAGAAGAGGCCACAGCTCCGAGCGGGGCCTGAGAGCCTGCTCCTACCGGGAAGGTGACGGCACCTTCGCAGCCATGTCCCTGTGAGAGCTGTGCCGGCGCCTCTGAGTGGGGATCGAGCGCCTCGGTCCCTGTGGCTCGCAGCCAGGCTTCTTCATGGCACGGGGAGAAGCCTTCCCCTGCGCCTGCCTCCCGTCTGGCTGACTGGCAGAGACTTTAGGGAGCCAGGTGGCACGGGGCCAGGGACAGGTGGTTTTCAGGGTTCGGCTCCTGGTGTCACAGGAGAGAGCCCAGAAGGACAAACGTGTGTGCTTTCTCAGGATGATGTTGGGAGATGTGCTTCTTCACAGTGAGGGAGAAAACCAAGACCGAGGATGACTCAGGATTGAGGGGACGGGACTCAGTGCGAGCAAGAGGTCCTGGGAATGTTGGTGAGACAGAGCGGGGCGTGTCAGGCGCAGCGGGCGGGCAGCAGGCCCGGCCTCGCGGGCGGGTGGGCACGGGGGGCGGGGGGCTGCGGGCTCTGGGCGGGGGTCCCTCAGGAAGAGGGAGCAGGAGCCCGCCTGGGGTTTGTAGGAGCTCACCAGAGAGGCCGACGGTTCTGCCAGCAGGCGGGAGTCCGGGCAGGGGGCGGGGGCGGGGGGATTAATGATGAGTATGTAGCAAACAAAGCAATAAAAGCCAAGGTTCAGGAAGAACAGCGTGTGAAAGGAAGGAAGGAGGCTCACAGTATACTCTGTGGCTCAGCTTTCAGTAATAGTTACATGGCTGGAAGGATGTGAATGTCGACTACTTGATTTCATAGAAATGCAGTTAAATGAAATTTTAAGGGAAGAGAGAAGTTGTGTGTTGGGATGAGGAGAGAAGTGAAGAGCAACACATCTTCATTGTTTATATTAAAAAGTCAGTAGATGATAGTTATAACTAAAAGAAATCAAGAAGTGTCAATGTAAACTAAGTTATTTAGATATATGAAGATAAATCTAAGGGGAAAACAGCTAAAATAGTTGAAAATTATCTTTAAGGAGCTGGTAGAGGTAGACAGGGCAAGGAACTTCTGTTTTTCATGACAGGTCTTATAGTATGAGCTTAAAAAATCTATTTATTATATTACTGTGGTAAAATATTAATGTAATATTTTAAATCCACCAACTAAGAGAAATTTTTACCAGATTGAACATTATCACCTGTGGTTTAATAATGCCAACATGAACATTGCTTTGCATTTTTAAATTTTTATTTATTTATTTCATCCTCCCCTAAGGATATGCTTTTTTATTGCATTGAGGGGGCGGGGGGAGGGGCGGGGGAGAGAGAAACATTGGTCAGTCCCCTTGCACCTGGGCATGTGCCCTGACCAGGGCCAACGCTCCCACCCCCCGAGCCACCCCGCCAGGGCAACACTGCCTTTTATTAACTCTTCTCAAGATCTTATGTAGAAAGCACACATTTGTACTATCTGATCTAAATATAGAGACTTAGTGATTGCTCAGGTTGTATTTCTTGACTCTTGTATTCTGGGTTCTCTTAAAGTCCAAGTCAGATAATTATCAATGTATTTTAAAATTTCTTCATAAGTGATACCAGAAAATGACTACTGAAAGTTCTTGACATATATTCTAGACAGCTTGATATTCCTTTGGATGTTTTATTTCTTTAAGAAAACATACTCTCTGCTCCCAATTTTACTGCTTTTGGGATCTTTTCTGTTTCCCTGGACCACAATTCCCCTATGCATTTTGGTTTGATATCATTGTGGAGAAGGAAATAAAATAAAGAAATAGAGAAAATAAACATCCCAGCAAACCATTGGCCATTGTCCAAGGAAAGCTGGGAGTACAGCGAACTGGCAGGGTTGTAGGATTTGGTCCCACAGGCAGAGTTTTAGGTGGTGGGGTGATAAACTCCACTTGGTTACAGGTCTAGGTTAATAAGGCTCAAAGAGAAGAGAGGTTGAGTTGTACAGGCTTTGTGATGAGAGAAAGAATATCTGATTCTAGCCTTGCATTATCAAAGCAAAACTACAGCAGATTTCTCTTAGTGTAGTGGAATGTCTTGTTTCTCCACTTGGAGGTAAATCATCTTTTCTTTGTTTTTTCTTGGCCTGCAGTAAAAAAATAAAATAAAATAAAATAAAATAAAAATTAAAAAAAAACCCCAACAAAACAAAATTGAAGAAAACAAAATTGAGAGAAAAATTAGGAGACCCAAAACCAAAATAGAATGGATAGTAAATAATTACAACAGGAAATGGGTATAAGGTTTATTAGCTTTGTCTAGGAGAGTATTGCAATGAGTTCTGAGTAATGATTCTAAATAAGAGCTTGGTGAATAGCTAATGTGGATGGAGTAGTTTCTAAAACTCTGTTGTAAGTGTGAGGCTGGTCTAAGTACACTATTTCAGGTGTCTGCCCTTTTCTGTAATAAAGAATGTGGGAAATATCTAAATTTAATCTTATATCAGTTAAAAATGAAGATTTCAAAACCTAGACAACGTTATCATCAGTTCTCCAAATAGAAGTTGAGAATTATTTTTTACTGAAGTTCATTTGTCTTTCAGCAGTTGGATAAGTGAAAAATCAATTCCAATATTTGTTCAAGTTGCAAGTTTCTCAACCATCTTGTCTTTGTGAATACCAGGATGTTGCTAATACTCATGGGAATGCTTCTTTCTTTATTTTGTTGCTCCCAGATGTGTGCTCTTGACATGTATGTGCTGATAGTGATCTTGAGATTCGGTGCACTACTGTGTCTCCAGGCTCTTCATAGAATTCCCCCCTCCTGGAGGTACTTAGTCCTGCCTCAGTTTCTGGGCCAGTTTGAGATGGTGAGAGTAGCCAAAACTTACCTGAATTACCCAGTGGTGCTGGAGTCCTCTCAGGCTCCAGATGTAGTGGCCCAGGCAAATCTGCAGAGCTCCCAGAGCATTTATGCCAACAACAGCAATAGCAGCAGCAACAACAATAGCAACAATGTCAGCAACAACAAGGACAACAGCAGCAAGAACAGGAACAACAGCAGGAGCAACATCAGCAACAAGAACAACAGCAACAAGAGTGGGAATGACAACAGCAACAATAGCAGCAGTGGCAACAACAGTAGGAACAAAAGCAGCAAAGACAACAATGGGAACAACAACAGCAGTGACAGTAGCAACAACAGTAATAGAAACAATGGCAGCAACAATAGAAATAACAGTAGCAACAACAACAGTGATAATAACAACAGCAGGAACAACAACAGTAACAACAGCAGAAACAATGGAAATGACAGCAGCAACAACAGCAGCAGCAGCAAGAGTAGCAACAACAACAGTAGAAACAACAGCAAAAACAACAACAGTGACAATATTATCAGCAACAACAGCAGCAATAGTAGCAACATCAGTAACAGCAATAATAGCAATAACAACAGCAGGAATAATAGCAGCAGCAACAGCAGCAGTGACAACAGCAACAGCAGCAACAGTGACAACAACAGCAGAATCAACAAGAGCAGGAACAACAACAGTAATGGCAACAGAAACAACAAGAGCAACAGCAGCAACAGTAATGACAACAGCAGAAACAACAGCAATGATAGCAACAACAATAGTAACAGAAACAATGGCCACAACAACAGCAACAACAACAGTAGCAGCAGCAACAACAGTGACAATAACAGCAGAAGTAAAAAGAGCAGGAACAACAACAGCAGTAACAGCAACAGAAACAATAGAAGTGACAGCAGCAACAATAGGAACAATAGCAGCAGCAGCAACAACAGCAGCAACAGAAACAACAGCAGCAACAACAGAAACAATAGCAGCAGCAATAGCAACAGTAGCAACAAGAATAGCAACAACAGCAGTAACAGTAGCAGCAGCAACAGTAGCAACAACAGTGGAAACTGCAACAGCAACAATAGCAGAGGCGATAACACTAACAGCAGCAGCAACAGTAGCAACAACAGTGGAAACTACAACAACAGCAACAACAATGGTAGGAACAATAGCAGCAGCAGCAACAACAGCAGTAACAATAGCAGCAGCAGCAACAACAGCAGTAACAATATCAGCAACAGCAACAACAGCATTAGGAACAACAGCAAAAACAACAGGAACCATAATGGCAGTGACAGCAGCAACAACAGCAACAAAAACAATGGCAGCAACAATAGCAACAATAACAGTAGCTGCAGCAACCACAGTGGCAACAATAACAATGGCAGAAATTACAAGAGGAGGAACAGCAACAGTAACTGCAGCAGAAACAACAGAAGTGACAGCAGCAACAATAGGAACCACAGCAGCAATAACAATGGTAGGAAAAATAGCAGCAACAGTAAGAGTAGCAGCAGCAATAGCAACAGTAGCAACAACAGTAGCAACAATAGTAACAGTAGCACTAGCAACAGCAACAGTAACAACAGTAACATTAGCAATAGCAATAACAGTGGAAACAACAAGAGCAACAACAAGGATAGGAACAATAGCAGCAGCAGAAACAACAGCAGCAACAGAAACAACAGCAGCAACAACAGAAACAATAGCAGCAGCAATAGCAACAGTAGCAACAAGAATAGCAACAGCAGCAGTAACAGTAGCAGCAGCAACAGTAGCAACAACAGTGGAAACTGCAACAGCAACAATAGCAGAGGCGATAACACTAACAGCAGCAGCAACAGTAGCAACAACAGTGGAAACTACAACAACAGCAACAACAATGGTAGGAACAATAGCAGCAACCGAAACAACAGCAGTGACAATAGTAACAATAGCAGCAGCAATAGCAACCATAGCAACAACAGTAGCAACAACAACAGTAACAGTAGCAGCAGCAATAGCAATAGTAACAACAACAACAGTAACAGTAGCAGCAGCAACAGTAGCAACAACAGTGGAAACTATAACAATAGCAACAACAGCAGAAACAATAATAGTAACAGTAGCAGCAGCAGCAATAGTAGCAACAACAGCAGTAACAATAGGAGCAGCAACAGTAGCAAAAACAGTGGAAAACCCAGCAACAACAAGGGTAGGAACAATAGCAACAACAGGAAGAGCAGCAACAACAGTAACAGCAGCAACAGCAATAGCAATAGTAGCAAGAACAGCAGAAGCTACAATAGTAACAGTAGCAGCAGCAACAGGAGCAACAACAGTGGAAACTACAACAATAGCAACAACAGCAGGAACAACAGTAGTGACAACAGCAGCAACAGCAACAACAATAGCAACAACAGCAAAAGAAAGAACAATGGAAGTGACAGCAGCAACAACAGTAACAGAAACAATAGCAGCAACAACAGTAGAAGCTATAACAGTAACAGTAGTAGCAGCAACAGCAACAGTAGCAATAATAGCAGAAGCTACAACAGTAACAGCAGCAGCAACAGCAACAGTAGCAACTACAACAGTAACAATAGCAGCAATAGCTACAGTAGCAAGAACAGCAGAAGCTACAACAGTAACAGTAGCAGCAGCAACAGTAGCAACAACAATGGAAACTACAATAACAGCAACAACAGCAGGAATGACAGAGGTGACAGCAGTAGCAACAGCAGCAGCAACAGCGACAACAGTAGAAACAACAATAGCAGTGACAGCAACAATAACCTTAACAGAAACAACAGTAGCAACAACAGTAGCAATAGCAGTAGCAACAACAGCAGAAGCTACAACAGCAGCACTAGCAGCAGCAACAGTAGCAACAACAGTGGAAACTACAACAGCAACAATGGTGGGAACAACAGCAGCAACAATAGTAACAATAGCAGCAACAACAGCAGAAGTAATAACAGTAACAGTAGCAGCAGCAGCAGCAATAGTACCACCAACAACAGTAACAATAACAGCAGCAACAGTAGCTACAACAGTGAAAACAATAGCAACAACGGTAGGAACAATAGCAGCAACAGAAACAGCAGCAACAACAGTAACAGTAGCAATAGCAATAATAGCAAGAACAACAGAAGCTGCAACAGTAACAGTAGCAGCAGCATCAGTAGCAACAACAGTGGAAACTATAACAACAGCAACAACAGCAGGAACAACAGTGGTGACAGCAGCAGCAACAGCAACAATAGCAACAACAGCAGCAGAAACAACAATGGCAGTGACAGCAGCAGCAACAGTAACAGAAACAATGGCACCCAAAATAGCAACAACAGTAATAGCAGCAGCAACAACAGTGACAATAACAACAACAGAAATAACAAGAGCAGGAACAGCAGCAGTAAGACAGCAGAAACAACAGAAGTGGCAGCAGCAAGGACAATAGGAACAACAGCAGCAACATGGCAGGAACTACAACAGCAGGAACAACAACAGTCACAGCAGCAGAAATGAGGGAACTGAGAGCAGCAACAATAGGAACAACAGCAGCAACAAGAGTAGCCAGAAACAATATCCACAGCGACAAGAATGGCACAGCTGCAGCAGCGACGGCAGCCACGTGGTTGACTGGTCCCGACGTGCAGCCCGGTGCTGGGCGCCCCACCTCCGTCGGCCCGCTTGGGATCCCAGCCCCGTGGGCGGAGGCGAGTGCCTGCGCCCGGCCCTGGCTGCCCAGGCCAGCACCTCGGCCCTCTTGCTTCCTGGCCGCCTGACTCAGGGAGAGCCCTGTGCTCACACTGGCCTTGGCTTTTTTCGGTTGTTGAACGGAGTTAATGAAGATGCCTGCTTCGTAGAGTTGTTGCAGGACCCGGTGAGAAGGGCTTGGAAAGTACTAGTGGAGAGCACTTAGTAAATATTAGCTGCTCCCAATTTTACAGAAAAGGAAACAGTCTTAAGAGAGGAAATAAAGGATATATCAATGTCAAAGGTCTGTCTTTTTAACAACGGTGGGCTCCGTGCCCTTAGGAACCAGACAGCTTCGGTGGTGGGGAAGGGGTCCCGCTGGGCCCTGTCCTCGCTGGCTCTCCCGCAGTGCGTGACCCTCCGCCCGGGGTCGGCTCTGCTGAGCGAGGCACCCTGCGCGCCCGCCCCCTGGTCCCAGCCCTCCCTGCCTCCTGTGGGCTGTCCCCACCTGTCCTGCAGCTCCCCAGGCTTCGCACAGACCCGCCCCCTGCCTTTGGAAGGTCAGCTGGGTAGAGTGACACAGAACAGAACAGTGGGCATCTTCAGAGGAGTGTGTGCAGGTCACATAAATAGAAAGAATGTAAAATAACAGAGTTGATCTCTAAACTCTCTCGTTAGCCTGCTGTGAACCAGCCTACGAGAATGGAAAACTCTCGCAAGTATAGGTGTGTGCGTACATCACTAAGCTGTGCTTCCCTGTCTCAAAATATGCAGAACACATTTTAAAATTGCTTTCCAACAAAACACCTAGGTATGTATTTTCTGTTTTATGGAACAATTATGACAACTTCTATGAATAATGGCATTGGCTCCCAGACACGGTTGAAGGGCCAGGCGCTTTACATGCATGATCCCACCTAGTCATCACAAACACCCAAGGAGCAGGGGCTGCTATCCCCACTGACGGATGAAGACACAGAAGCTTCGAGGAGCTAAGGCACATGGAGAGGACATGTGGGGAGCTCGCCGGAGGGTCTGTGCCCCTCACCCTAACCCCGGCGCTGCTTGGAAGAGCCTGGAATAACCTCTGCTGGGGATGCTGTGGAAGGGACTCGGCGTTTATTCCAGTGTCTGGTGAGCACCTGCTCCGGGCTTGGCTCTAGAATAGGGCCTCACACGGGACACAGTCTGTCCTCAGGGGACATACTTGTGTGTGTGGGACACCGTATGGAGCATGGGCTGTGGGGAATGGCTGTCGGGATCAAGGGTGTCAGGCTCAGGTGTCTACGTGCCCAGGCAGAAAGGACGAAGGTGCTGGCCCAGGAGAGCAGGGCCCGGAGGGCCTGTGGCCTGCTCCCAGGGCACGTCCTCCGAAGGGCGGAGCCGCCACGCAGCTCCTGCAAATGGTCAGCGAGGGGAGTGCCTACCCTGTGTGACCCGATCCTCTGGTGGTTTGTTTATTTTAGCAGGTCCTGGAAATCCAGTTTGTGTGGAATTCCCCACTTCAAAAACGGTCGTGTGGGCCAAGCAAGGCCCTGGAAAGCCCGGTGTCCTGCGGGCGGCCCGGGTGACGGCCGGATGAATCCCAAGGCTGCCTCCCCCCTGAGCTCCAGGTCCTAGAACAGCCTCCCCGCCACTACGATTCCCCTGCGGCAGCGTCCATCTAGACGCTGAGTGCGCGCGAGGCGAACGTCTTGTGGGATGAAATTGTGGTAAGTTTCAGTTCAGTTCTGGGCACCAGTGGGCCAACGTGGAGTATGGATGAAATTAATACAAATATCTAAGCACACCCATAAACAAGCTTGTGGGGGTATGTCATAGACATTGCTCTTAGATTTTGAATAGTATGGTTCAAAAGTCAGAAAGCACAAAAACGTAGGCATAGAAAAGTCTTTCTCCCACCCGTAACCCACAGCCACCCAGGCCTGTGGGTTACGCCCACAGCCAGTGTCAGCGTCCCTGCACAGCCTTCCAGAGATCCAAGCGCATGTGCGTACGCATTTCTCCACTTTTCCCCCACACATAGTAGAATTTATACTTTCTATTCTTTGCTTTTTTCCTTTAGCAATAGGTCTTGGAGAATGTTCCTTAGCTGTGTATAGAGAGCGGTTTCATTCTCTTAAATGGCTAGATGATATTTTACTGAATGACACATCAGAATGTAACTATCTCACCGGTCTCCCAGCTAAAGGCCATCCGGGTTGTTCCCAGTCCTTTCTTACATAAATCATTGCCTCGGAGAACAGTCCCGGGCACTGATTATTTCGCACATGTAAATTCCTGGATGTGTGGAATTGCTGGTCATATTGCCCATCACAGAGGTTTCCAGTTCTCACCCTCCTGGCAACCGAGGGCGCTTTCCCCGCATTCCTTCCGACCACAGGCGCCCACACAGTTGATGGCCAGCGGCCCCAGTGCGCACCTGTGCCGTGCGCTTCTGCCCTTCTCTTGTTAACAGCGAGGCTGAGCGTGTTGTCGCACACAAGGTCTGGCGGACGTAACGCCTGCTTGAGTGTGGTTGGTAGGGTAATAATATGGGCGTAACGATGCATAGTTTTACCTTGAACATTTCACCTAAAATGTCACATAGGGTGCTGGAGTGTGATATTGTTATGCTGCAGAATGACATGCATGTGCTTTTGTAGTAAAAGATTTTGTAATAAGAAAGGGGCTTTATTTGTGCCTGTATTTAAGAGCTCTTTTTTCCCCCTGAATTATCTGTTCAAATCCTTTGCTCATTTTATAAACTTCTTAGAGCTATTTACATATTGGGAAAATTAGACCTTTGTAGAGGCATAAATATTTTCTCTAAGTTTGCCATGTTATTTAAGCTTATAGTAGTTTTAAATGCAGAATTCTTCATTTTTATGAAGGAAAACTTATGGATCTTTATTTTAACAGGTCCTGGATTTTTTGGCCATATTTCAAAGATCTTCCCTACTATGAAACTAGAAAGGTGTTCTCCTATAGTATCTTCGCTATTCCTTCCTTCCTTCCTCCTTTTCTTTCCTTCCTCTCCTTCTTCCTTCCTTCCTCCCTCCTTTTCTTTCCTTCCTTTCCTTCTTCCTTCCTTCCTCCTTTTCTTTTCTTCCTCCCCTCCCTCTGTCCCTCTCTCCCTCACTTCCTTCCTGCCTTCCTTTTGGCGTTCCAAGCCTGAGTTCGCTTGAGCTGACCTGTGTGTGGTATGAGACACACATTCTCCCTCACCCTTCCTTCCAACTGGCTGCAGAGTTGGCCGAAGGCCTCTCTGTGCTAGGGAGCGCGCGGGGGCTTCCGCCCGTACCTCTGCATGCTCTCGACCTCTTCGATCGTCTCGGGCAGAGCCTTCCCTCTGGTCTCCGGCAGGAGCAGCACCAAAGCCCCGGAGGTCAAGCCGAACACGGCTGAAAGCCAAACAGAGGCAAATCACACTGAGAAGGGAAGCATCCGGCTCTATAATTAGGGCTCCCCTTATTTCTTAAAACAAATTTGGGTGATTTCCTATACTTAAGAATTTCTTTGCCATCTGACAGCCCTATTCTCCACCATAAATATTTTGCTGATCCCAAGCCCCTGTTGGATTACAATTCCTTATAGGGAAATGAAATACTTCACATTTCGAGTCAAGTTTATTCTAGGCTTGAGAACCTTGCCATAATATTAAGATACTTTGGAGTTAGAAAATAACTGAAAAAAAAAATCAACTCTAAGAAAAGAAAGAACATAACACTGCCAATATAAAGTATTTGGTAAAGAAAATTGAGTCAGAAACTTGGATTGTTACTGGCAAATAAAAGTAATGAAGCTCTTTTAAAAGTGTTAGTATCTAACAGCATTAAAAAGTATAGCTAGGACTTTGATTTCGAATTCAGGTGTTTAATAAACTCCAGTTCTTCTTTTCTCTGTGTTCAGCTCTAATTTGTTGCGTGCGTTCCAGGGTGGGGTAATAGCAAACATTGTAGTGTTTTTGTTTCTTTAAATTCCCATTAAGTTTTGGGGATGTTAAGGTTACATTTCAATGTTCTTCTGTAGTAGAATGGAGGAAGTGGGATGTAGATGCTCCACAAGTTTTGGAGTTTCAAAAAAAATAATGCACATTGGACTCCATTTTTGCATCCTTAAAAAATGGCCGAACCAGGGGCCCCTGCGTTCAGTGGTCCTGGCGCCTGCTTCCGTCTGGGCCGCCTCGCTGAGCCTCCGGGCCCCCTACGTAAAGTGGGGTGAGAGGCCCCTCCCAGGCTTGTTCTGAGACTGAAATGAGCTCCTATCTGTTAACTGCTCAGAATAGTGCTCTCCGAACCTCTGAAGACGCCCTTGGTTGTAACTCATACAAACGGTAAACACGCTCAGCTGGCGCTGACTCTCCGGAGTGAGTGAGCTAGGAAGGTAATGCAACAGAGGGGTCAAAGCGTCGCCCGTTGGGCACTTCGTACGTGCAAAGACAAGCCTGACCCGCCGGGGCCTGCCCTCTCCCCTGCGGCAGTTCTCTTCCAAGCAGGACTATCCAGTGTATTGGCGTGGTAAGTTTCGGACTTCTAGATTTCTATTTCTGGTCACAAGACCGCAATGAGCACACTAGTGTGTGGAAAAGGAAGGAAAAGAAGCTAAAATGTACAACCGTTAGTTTTGATTCCTGTTAGAGATTCAGATGAAGAGCTGACGAGGGAAGATTACTAGCAAAAATAGAACAGGGAGTTGTCGTAGAGCTGACTGTAACTGTTGAAAGGCAGCCCTGGCTGGGGTGGCTCCGTGGACCGAGCGCCAGCCCGCACGCTGAAAGGTCGCCGGTTCCGTCCCCAGACGGGGCGTGTGCCTGGGTTGCAGGCCCGGGCTCCAGTTGGGGGCGACCTCGGTTGCCTCTCTCACACTCATGCTTCTCTCCCTCTCTTTCTCCCTCCCAGCACCTCCGTTGAAAAACAAATAAATGTCGAAAGGCAATTACGATCCTTTATCTTTTCTGAGGGAAGGTCCACCGTGGTCCCTCTGGGCCCCGGGCTTGACATTGCTGTGTTAAATAGCTGAGAGGGTCCTGAAGGACCCGTTCTGCCCAGAAATACCCCCCTGACCCTGCGGAGACTGGCTGCCCACCGAAGGGAGTGGCGGGGATCCAGGCACGCCCACCTCCTCCCAGCAGGGCGGTGGCCCGGTGGGCGAGACGGCCCGTCCCCGGGATGGCTGGGGGCTCTGGGACCCGGTGGGGAAGGGGCAGTGCCAGCTACCCTGTGGCCAAGCCGTGGTCCTCTCGGGATAAGGGGCCGTGTCCCACCGACTCGGGTTGCGGTGGCGCTAGGTTGGGAAGTGGGGGGATCCCTCGGTCCTGCTTCCAAGGCGAGTTCTGGCTGCGGCTGGGAACTTCTCCCAGCAGGTGTGCGGAGGGGGTCACCTCCCTTCCCCAGTCCCCAAGGAGAGGGGCGGGCAGAGATGCTTGGGTGTGACAGCCCGAGCGAGGAGGAAGCCGACGGCCCCGGCGGGCACCCAGCAGGGTCTCTTCCTCCCTCCCCGCACTGTCAGTGAGGGCCCGCTGTGAAAAGCATCCCAGGTTTGTCAAATTAAAACTGGCTCAGAACGCGTCGTAAAGGGGACTGAAGGGGGTGCGTTGAGGCGCAGCGGCCGGCGTGAGGGGGTGAAGGTTCTGCGTGTGAATCTGTCACCACATCTGTGTGGACGCAGCTGCGGGCGAAGGCTGCGGGTGTTGAGTGAACGGAAGCGCCCAGGGTTCCCCTTTCACAGTCTGGCCACTTTGTGTTCAACACAGGCCTGCGTGTGTTAATTGCAGATAATTAGCGTTATCCCGGTCACTTTCCCTCGGGCAGGCCGGGCGGGCAGGGGAGGGCTCCGCTGGCACAGCCCTGCAGAGTTGGGGGAAGGGCCTGAGCAGCCGAGGAAGCGGGCTCAACCCGGCCCCGCATCCTGTGTGCTGGCGCGTGGCCTTTGTCCCCCAGGTCTGAAAGGCCCTCTGTACAGTGACAGCCTGCCCTTAAAGCCGTGAAGTGACAGGTTTGCATTTCTCGACCCGGGGCTGTGGAGGAGGCAGAAAGAGCGCGCTCTTCGACCACGAGGCCCACGGAGGTGGGGGCAGCAGCCAGCGGCCTCCTTTAGGAGCCTCTTCCCACCTCGCTCTTTCTTGACATTGTGCCGCTTCGGGCAGGTGTCCCAAGGGGTTCGCACACTTGAGCGTTAGTGGCTTCCGACGGTGTTACTAATAATACTAGTGTTACCGACATAGAAAGCCTCACTGATTGCCGGTCGCATATGGGAGCTATTAACAGGTGCCTACGTTGAGGTAACGGAAGGGAGGTCCCTAGGGAAACCAGTTTTCATTCAAAGACATCTCTCAGGATTTCTTACCAAAAAGCACCAGTGGAAGTTCGTGCCAGATGTCAGTGAGCCGGTACACCAGGAATGGCGCGATGATGCCCCCGATGTCACACATGGAGGAGCTGACGAGGACGCCGAGGTTCCTGGGACACAGGGCACGGGTTTAACCTTTTAATTCCTCAAGGGACAGTGGTTACTTCCCATCCCCCCCCTCCCGTAGGTAATTCCCCAAATCATTAAAATGTTTGTGAACTGCAGAAGGAAGGGTCATGTCGCCCTGACCGGTGTGGCTCAGTGGGTTGGGCGTCGTCCCACAAAGTGAAAGGTCACTGTTTGATCCCTGGTCAGGGCACACGCCTGTGTTGCGGGTTCAGTCCCCTGTCAGGGTACATGCAAGAGGCAACCCGCTGATGTTTCTGTCTCACATCGATGTTCCCCTCTCTTTCTCCCTCCTTTCCGTTTTCTCTAAATATAAATAAACCTTAAAAAAAACTGTTCATGTTATTTTCAATACACACACATGATCTATGCTACATCTTCCATTTGTATTCTGTTATGTTTGTTTTATATTACCTTTCTTGGGAATTCTTACTTGGGGGGCGGCTTTCACTTCCCACCTGCGCCACCTGCTTCCCCGTTCCCGCAGTCCCGTCTGCGCTGTTCCCAATCACTGTCCCTGGAGGCTGCGGGGCCACCCTCGCTTGCAGTTCAGTGTCTTCTGTCCTCACCTCGCATTTCTGCCCTTGACCCCGGTCTGTGAGTGTGAGATGTGACCCAGCAACCGCTTCTAAGCGTTCTCCTCCTCTCTCGTCCTGTGCTTTGGAAAGTAAGCTGCCGTCCGCCGGCACCTGGGGTCGTTCTGGCCAAGGAACAGATGCCCTGCCCCGCTTCGTGCTGGGAAAACGCGCTCACCTGATGAACGTGGGGTACAGCTCTGTGCTGACCAGGCAGAGTATCTCGAAGGCCACCGTGATCCCCATCCGACCCAGGCACGTGACTGTGACTCTCAGCCATTGTAGATCTGAGGGGAAACACACCACTTGCTTGTGCGACAAACACACCTGCGCTTCAGAGAGCGCTCCCTCTGGGCGGGGGCGGGGGGGCTGGCCCGGGGAAAGTCCACATTCCGGAATGGGGAAAGCAAGGAGCACGGGTTCTTCTCCAGGCTCAAGATGATGTCAGCACATTCCCCACGTCGGTTTATTTTAACTTTAGACACAGCCGTAATAATCTTTTAACTTGAGACCTTGGTCATTCATGACAACAGAATAAGACCGGTTTCCGAAGCCGGGCCGACTTGAGTCTGGAGAGGTCACACAAAGGAAATAGCGAGATGTGGGCATCCTCTAAGCAGTTGCTGATAACTGAAAGATTCAGGCGAAGCTCCGTGTTGCTAACAGGGTGCTGGGATACAGGGCTTTGCTCGCCTTCACTGAGAAAGAATCTTAAAAGGGAAAACAGGACCTGAATAAGTGTTCATTGATGGCGTTCACTTAAGTTTTCCCATTCATTCTGCGGATGATGTAAGGAGTTCCAGGGAGCCGCCTAAACAACCCCTGAGAGGCGCTGGGGGAGGACTCTAGCCCGGGCCTGCTCTTCCCCACAGCCCAGGCTCTCTGCCTGGGGCCGGCTGGACGGCCTGTAGCGTGGGCCCCCCGCACCACGTCGGCGCACAGCTGGGTGCAGCCACATTGCATCAGAGCACCACCGGGTGCGCTGGTTGTGGAAGGTGTATGTGTTTGTCAGGAAGGCACTAGATACAGTGTTCGTTCTTTCCAGATCGGTCTGGATGATAAATGACACGGTCCTATCAAAGGGCAGTGATGCTCCTGTTTTTTGGATCTCGGAACACAAGACCCTCACTTGGTCCACTACTCACCCTCAGGGATAAAAACTGAGGCCAGACAGGCCGCCCCCGCCACCACATTTGCCACAGCCCACGGGAGACGGCGGCCGACGCGGTCGATGGTGAGGATGATGATGAAGGCGGCTGGGAACTCCACCAGGGCGGACCAGAAGAAGTCCAGGTAGATGTTGTTCCCTGCCAGGCTCACATGCATGATGAGGCCCTGGTAGAGGGCAGAGTTTGTGAACCTGAGCAAAGAGCAGAGCCCCGGTCAGTGCACGTGAGAGCAAGTCACCGCAAGGGGGAGGCTTCTGGAAAGATAAGAGTGACCACAGGTCACCTTCTTGGGATCTTATTGCCACTATTCCCTCCATTGTCACGTTCACACTGTCTGACCCACTCTGGTGGCTGGCGGTGGCCCCAGAACCAGGGGCAGGGGAAAGGAATTAGGGTCGTGTTCCTTGGCCAAGTTTGAAAGGCAAGAAGAAATGTCTTAGTGGAGTGACTTATTTAGTAAAACTACACAGGTCACTAGTGGTTGCTCATTACTTCTCTGTGGTCAAGGAACTGACCACTTCCTTCAAATGCTGGGAAACCAGAGGGGCCAATGGCCACGGCCTCTCTTCTTAATGATTTGCCTTCTGCCAAGATACAAATACCATCTTGACAGTGTTTCTAGTTTTGTTGACTGAAAGTGCTCATTGTCTGTAATGGAAAACATGAGGATAATGTACAAGAGTCACTATTACTCAGTTATGAGTTTTTTAATGCAATGTTGTGAGGGTTGATTAATTCCTGAAGAGCTTTGCCTTTTTTTTTTTTTTTTTTAAATTCTGAGCTTTGCTTTTGCAGGGCCTATGGCTCCCGTCCTGGCTGGCCTGAGTCAGTCCCGGGCAGCCCTCGGCGGAGAGCGTGCGCGCTGGAGAGGGCCGGTGCGGCGCTGTGGCTCGGGCCACGCAGGCCCCCTGCAGGCAGCGGACGCGGTCAGGCAGGAGTCCCTGGGCGGTGGGGCCACTGGCTGCGTCTCACAGTTTATTCTTGTTCTGGAGTTATTTCTCCAGGCAGAAAAGGAAGGGGAGAAGCCCTTCCCCCTGGCCCTGTGCGGTCAGGAGAGGTCTACACCCACCACCGATGGGTCAGTACCGGTAGCTCCCCGTTTTGACTACCTATTTTAAGAACGTGGGTTCCTGGGCCTTCTCTGGATTTATTGAACAGTCCCCTTGGTGGAGAGGGTCTGGCCTTGATATTGAAAAATCTCCCACAGGATTTCAAGGTGGAACCCTGACTGAGAATGTGCTGACGCACAATGTGGCGCGAGAAGCCGATGTCAACAGCTGCCTGAGAAAAGTGGTGTCAGGAAAACCTGCTGTGCGGGGCGCACCTTCTCCCCGCCAGCGGCGCTGACGCGGAATTAGGCTGTGTTCGAAGGTATCCGGTTCCCTTCCCCAAAGTGGGCGGCTGGCATTAAAGGAACTGCGAAGGGTTTTCAAGTGAAGAGCATTCCTTACCAGTTGTACATCAAGATCAGAGTGTGTTTCCGTATCTGGGGGGTTCTGACCAAGTCAAGAAACGAAGGATTCAGCTTCTCGCTGACTTCCTCATCGGGACTGAGGCTCTGAGGGAGGAAACCATAAGAACCGCCTTTTACATGGAGTGAGGGTTCCCTGGGCCCTACAGGGAGTAACGGCAGCGCCTTCACACGCACTAGCTCCTTTCACCTTTACGACTGTCCTGGAAGTTAGGGTCTGTGTTTTCCACCCCACTTCGCAGGGGAGGAGGCTGGGTCCAGGAGGCCAGACAACCCATGCACATATATAAAATGATGCTGTGTGGGTAGCGCGTGGCGGCGGGAGGGGGGTGAGGGTAAACCGAGGCCCATGCGACAGAGTGTGAAGGACCGAGGACCTTGGGGAGGAAACCTCTCGCGAGATGAGCACTGACCAGACTTATTGCCGCTACGTGAGCTGTGACTCCTGTCAAGGTATGTGGGCCCGCCCACACGTGCTTTGTCCCTGACCAGTGTCTGCACAGACCCACAACCTAAGAACGGGCGCTAGGCCGGTCACTAGTGGCAAAGAGTGGGTATCGCAGCCGCCTGGAAACCAGAGAGGCGGCGGGGGGTGGGGTGGGGTGGGGCGGGGGGGCGGGGGGGGGGGAGGAGACCAGGCCTCAGAGCCCAAAGCCTCATTCTCAGTGTCATGCCAAGTCCCAGGTTCTTCCAGGTTCCTTATCTCAGCGCCTCCGTCAGACATGATTTACTCCTATTTCAACACAGTTTCCTAATCAGCCTGGTTCCCTCTGCCGGGCCCTGTCCGACGAAGAGGTTTAAGTTAAGGGGTCGTGAGGCCAACTGAGGACAAAACGCAGGATGCGGAGACATCAGCCTAGTCGCTCGCTCCGTTCAAGAAGGCAGGGCGTCGCTTAGCCGCCTGGGGCACGTTCTACCCAGAATTTTTAACTTCTAGGAACGGGTTGTGTTTGAAAACCTGGTTTCCTGATCTGGGAACCGCCCTTCTGAGGAAAACCCCCTTCCCGGGGTGCCGACGGACACACGGGGAACCAGACGTGGGCGCCAAGGCACCGGGGCAGCACAGGCCTCAGCGCACAAGGCGGAAGTGCCTCGTTTGACTTTTAAATGTGTTTTTGGTTTCCTTTTAGTTTTCTGCTTTCCAGCTCTTTAGAATATCTGAGCGGGGAACCGTGTGTCTTGGCAGAGCAGAAGCGCCCATGGCCTCTGCTACAGCGCGAGCTTCCTGCCTCCGCCTCCTCCTCTCCCTCCCCCTCCCCCTCTGCTGCCACTGTCTCCTCCTCCTCCTCCTCCTCCTCATGGGCCCCAGGTGACCGATGTGACATGCAGCTGCTTGCTCACCTGAAGAGACGCAGGCATGGGTTTTCCATTCTTCCTCGAGATCTGCTTCAGGACCCTCAAGGCTTTAGCGCTTCTGTTCTGGGAGATCAGCCACCTCGGGGACTCGGGGATGCACCTGGGGCGCAGAGTGCGCGTCAACAGTGCTGTTAGTGACAGGCGAGTCTTACGGGCCCCCTGCCCCCCCAGCGGCCGGAACCAGATTTCTGTGGGGGGCCTGACCCATCGAGGCACCGACAGAGGGAAGAGGGTTGAGCAGGGGCTGCAAAGCCAAGAAACCACTGACAAAGTGAAAGGGGCACCTGCTCCCTGGGAGAAAACGTTGGCAAGTCATACATCCGAGAACAGGTGAACGTCCCAAATGTATAAAGAGCTCACGCACTGAACTGCCCAAAACCAAACAGGTCACTTTATAAAGGGGCAGGGGATCTGAATAGATTTTTTTTTTTCCCAAAAAAAGAGATAGTTGGCTGACAGGTCCATGAAAAGGCGCGCGACATCGCTGATTGTCAGGGAGATGCAAACCAAAACCACAGCGAGATACGCCTGTTGGAATGGCTGCTCTCCGGGAGACAGGCCACAGCGGTGCCTGTGAGGGGTGGGGAAAGGGGGCCTCGTGCGCTGCTGGCGGGGGCGGCGGTCGGTGCGGCCGCTGTGCGGAGCGGAGTGGGAGTCACTCAAAAACTAAAAAATAGACCTACCATACGACACGGCCATTCCACGTCTGGGTATTTATCCGAAGGGAAAAAACACTAGTTCAAAAAGATATATAAACCCTCATACCCACTGCAACACTATTTACAGTATGCAAGCTACAAAAAATGACCCGTGTCCATTGATGAATGAGTGGATGAAGAAAATGTGTGTGTGTGTGTGTGTGTGTGTGTGTGTATAATTGAGCCATAAAAGAGGATGAAATGTTGCCATTTTTGACAACATGGATGGACCCGAGGGATGTTACACTAAGTGAAGTATATCAGACACAGAAAGACAAATACAGTGTGATTTCACTTACAAGTGGACTCTAAGGGGGGAGATCAGGCTCATAGATACGAGGACAGACTGGTGGTGGCCAGAGGCAAGGGTTGAGGCGTGGGGGTGCGTGAAAGGGGTGAATGTGCCCAAAAGTACAAACTTCCAGTTATAAAATAAACAAGTCCCGGGGATGCAAGGCACAGCATGGTGACCATAGCTTACAATACTGTGGTGCATATCAAAAAGTTATAAAGGGGGTAGATCTCAACAGGCCTCATCCCAAGAAAGAAATTTCATAAAATTGTGCAGGAGAAAATGCGATTCTTTCCTCCTTCCACTGTCTCTACTCAGCCTCAGGCAGGGGGCCTCAGGTGCCCCCCCTCCAGAGTGTTCCCAGGGGACAGCTGAGTCTGAGGTCTGAGCCCCAGGTCTGAGCCGCAGGTGTGCTCAGGGGGGCACCAGGCTTCTCTGTTGTGAGAACTGACGGCAGGTGAGGAGGTGGGAGTCCGCGCACCATCGCAGGGGAAGCGGAGGTTCCGTCCATGTTGTTCTGAGAGCCGACTTCTTAAAGGAACAAGGGAAGAGCCTGAGATCCGATGGCGGGAGAACTTAGAAACCAGGCTGCCCAGGAGGACCCCGGAGGGGCCGCACACATCCTCGCGCAGGGCTGCGGCCGCTTGGCTCTGTGCCTGGAGAGGACTTGGGGCCGCTGGTCCAGGGGGGTGCGTGGAAGACAGACTGGACGGCTGTGGGCGTGACCCAGGGAGACGGGAGTGGCTCTGAGAGGCGGGCTCAGGACGGGTGCTTTTGTGGGAGCGCGGTGGGAGAGACGGATCAAGGACTTCAGGAACAGAGGCGGGGGGCGCTCAGCGGTGGTCAGTCCCCGCCTCCGGCGTGGACCCTCTGGGTTTGTGGTGACATCGCAGGGAAATTTTTCTAGGTCCCTCCTGGCTCACGTTCAGCGCTGGCCACACGCACTCCAGGACGCAGAGTCTGTCCGGCCAGCCGGTGCCTGAGCCGGAGGGCCGAGGAGGGGAGGGACCTGGTGACCAGGCCCGGGAAGGAGGGAACGGGGAACGGTTAGCCCAGAGGCGGACAGTCCGGGTGCACTCGGGGGGCGTGTCCAAATGGTCAAGGAACTGACGGGGGTGGGATGGAACGCGGTTTTTTGAAGCTCCACCGGCAGCCCCGGGGACGCTGGATACGCCTCCCAGGGGCGTGAATCCTGGCTCAGTGAGCCGGCCCTCGCGGCCGAGCCGTGGGCTCCGCAGTGCCATGGCTCGCGCTGCGTGGAATGAGACCGTCGATGGCAGCGTTCTAGCAGAGGCCAGATGAGCATCTACCTGTTCAGGGCACAGCCACGGGCCCCCGGGCCTGGACAGGGAGCTGGGCAGGAAGCTGGGCGAGAGGCCTCTAACGTTAGCTGGCCTCAACATGCCGACGGCCCACAGGGACGTATGGTAAGCCACGCAACGTCAGGTCGACAGCGGATCCCAACAAGCAGCGACAAGTGAGAACCACAGTGAAGGGTGCACCCTGCCACCCAGCCGGGCGGGCTGAGCAGGGGTGGCTTCAGGGGAGGCGAGACTTGCCTGGCGCCTGGCCTCCCGGGCCTTCCACCGGCCCTCGGCCCCGGGAGCTCCTCTTTCTCTCCCCGATAGCGCCACCTCATTCTTCAGTCCCGGCTCCTCGTCCTTAGCTTGGTCTTCAAAAATTGGTGTTTTCTCCTGTTCTGCCCCGTTCCCTGCCTCTCTGGGTCCTGCTCATTTTCTCTCATTGATCTCACCCATCCTCACGGCTACAGCAATGACGTTTTTCTTGAACTTCTTCTGTGTGGCTGCCCCTGGGTAGCTGTGTGTCGATGTCCTTCCAGCACCTGAGATCCCGCACGTCCAAAGCTGACCTCACCATCTTCCTTCCACACTTGCTCTCCTGTGTTCCCATCTCTCTGAATGACGCCCCCCCCCCCCCCGCAGCCGACGCGCACCCTACACGCGGCACCTCCTCGCTCTGAGCCTCCACAGTCAGTCACCTGGCTGGGTCACTGTTGCTTTATTCTTCATGTCTATAATCTTTCCCTCTTCGTACCCACAGCTTCTGCCTCCATTCAGGCTCTCATCCTCTCTTGCAGGCGTTACGGCGATAGTCTCTCAGCTGACCCCCGGCCCCCGTTCTTCCCCCAAAACACCTGTTTTCTACTCTGTATCTTGAGTGATCTTTTGAAAATGTTGCCCCATCCTGGAGTGTGTCCAGTTGTAGGTAAATTAAATTTGATTCTGTTGAGTGCAAGTGGCAAGAAGTGTTCCTGAGGCGGTCGGGACAGGGGAGCTAGGTGGGCCTTTCTGTCAGGAAGAGCATTGGCTCTTTATTCCGAGGGGGACGCAATTACCGAAAGGCTTCTAAGCAGTAGAGTAACAAGGCGGAACTAGAAGCTGACGTGCAGCGGGAAGCATGGATTAGAGGGGGTGGTCGAGCAAGAGTCAAAGATCATGGCAATCCAGGCAAGAGAGAGGGGAATCCTCGCGGGAAGAGGGGGAAAGGGGAAGGGTGGGTCCAGGGAGGGAGCTAAGGATCACTCTTTGAGTTGGACTGGATTGTGGAGGAGACCCTGGCCTCCCGGGAAGGTTGAGGTGTTTCGCTCTCAGGCGACCCCAGGAAGAACAGGTAGATGTGCCCAGGAATGAAATGCAGGGGCTCGTTGCAGGGGAGAGAGGCTCGGTTGGCAACACAGCACCCCTCGTGCTTTGTTTCGGGCAACCTCACAGCGGGGCTTCTGATGGTTTCTGCTCTTTTCCATGTTCCCCGAGGGCAGGGTGACGCACACACGTCACTTGTCCTGAGAACTCTGATTGGTCGCTATGGTCTGTGTGGGGCCCCGCGTTGGCCGGATCTGGGGCAAAGATCCGGGCACGCGTGTGGGAAGTAGGGGCACGAGCACATGCTCTGCCTTCTCTGTCCTCAAGTTTCCTCTGAGACGGGACAGAATGAGAAAGGTAGTATCATCAGTTTCTTCAAAGGATGCCGCAGCCCGCGGAAGCTAAGGTAAACACCACACAAATGATGTGAAAATGTCAGCTCCAAGATACAAAACTCTCAAGCCTGAAGTAAAGGGACATTTGCTTTCCAAAGTGGTGGAAGCTCTTGTTTTTTTATCCCTGCAACAGGGACCTGGGCTTCCTGTGGAACAGAGGAGCTAAGAAAACCTTAGGAGTCAGAAGGATGGTGTGCGTTAGGGAAGGCAGAAATAAAATGTTTGCCATTTATTCCCCTTCTTGTTCCGAAGGGACTTACCAGTAGTAGAGCAGGAAGCAGAAGTTGGGCAGGGTAACAGCGAGCTGCAGCCACCGCCAGTGCGGCAGCACGTACGCCACCCCGGCCAGCACCAGCAGGCCCACGGTGAAGGCGACTTGGTAGAAAATGCCCACCGTTCTCCGGTAGCTCCGCCCGACGAATTCTGTAACTGCAGGGAGAACCCGCGTGGTCAGGGCGTCAGCGCAGCAGGGAGCTGGCTGCCCAACTGCGGGGCGCCGAGCAGGCCAGCCTCCAAATATCCAAATTCTAGAACTTTCTAGATGGCTGTCCACAATTTCAAAATGTCCTTTGAGGACAATTTTAGACTTAGTGCTATTGTGTTAATTAATGTAAACACCTTAGAATCCCACGTCAGACGGGGCGAAAGGCCTGTGATCATGAGCGAAACGCCTGATTTCTAGAATAATTTCAAGGGCAGATGCAGCTGTGTTTCAGAGACATGCAAAGTTTTGATGGAGAGTAATCAGGCAGCGATGACTTCAGGCCTGAATTAATGACTCAAACATTGAATTTAGGTCATAGGTGATTTTTATGGAAACGAATACCTCAGGATAACTTATTCTCTTTTGCAAGTTAAATATTTTCTTGGCAATTCTGTTAATGTGTGTAAATGGCTCGAAAGCCTGCCGGTGGGTCTCAAGCTGCCTGAGTCAGCCGGCGCTGGCTTGCAATGCCTGCTCGTTAAATTCTCTGGAATTTTGCATGGTGGTTGTTAAGCTCCCTGGCACCTTCAAATCTGTCATGCTGGGAGCATTTAGAACTCAGACGTCAGAAAACGCTTTAAATCAGGGGTTTTGTTTCCCAAGAGCCAGTTCATCGGCACAACGCTGCACACGGTGTGATAACCGGCCTTATCCCCGCCCACGGCTGCCTCACGGCAGGTCATGAAGTCTGTAGTGCGTGAATTTAGGGAATAGTTATTTTTATATCACAACATACTAGAATTGAAATTTCAGATATTCCACAGAGTTTTTGTATAAAATGTCTGATAATTGCATGAAAGGCTTCGACCATTTACTGTGAATTATCCAAAGGTATTTTAAAATGGAGCCAAACAAAATTATGCAAGTGCTCCACAAATAGAAATGTCTGTCTTTCAAAGTCATTGGGGTCATGCCTGGAACTGCAGGCGGTGGGGTGGAAAGAGGTCAAGGGGTAAGGGGCTCCCCCAGGACATTCAGAAGGGCTGGAAAAGAAATAAGTGCGAAGGGGTGGGAACTAACGGTTGCTGAAATTGCAGTCTGTGCAATTGAAGTCTACGTAGGTTTACATATCACGTGTTCTAGAAACCAAATTACTGACCCAATAACTGCGTTGAACCCCTTCGTTGACCAAGCGTATGTTAGGCGCCCTCCATGACAGGCCCCTGAGGGCATCGCACACCCTTCCTCCTGCATCTCACAGAATTCCCCAAACAAACTTCACATGATCAGATTTTAATCACACATAGTCTAGTTCTCTCACGTGTCCTGCGAGCTTTACTGTTGTTATTATTTCAATTTCAAAGTGTTTGCCTCCGTGTATATGGATGCTATTTTTTTTTAAATTTGACTTCAGAGAGAGGAGAAGAGAGAGAGAAAAAGATCGATGTGTGAGAGACATCGATCACTTGCCTCTCCTATGCACCCTGACTCAGAACCGAACCTGCAACCCAGGATGCGCCCTGACCAAGCATCGAACTGGTAACATTTTGGAATGCAGGGTGACGTCCAACCAACTGAGCTACACAGGCCGGGGCTGTGGGTGCTCTTTGAATGTAGCTGAAGGGAAAATAATGAGGGGGTTAAGCCCCAAGATCTAATTTTGGTGGCAATTTTTCCTGTATTGCCTTAGAGATGCCATGCTGTTAGAGTCCAAACCTCCCCTCCGCTCCCTGGAGCTTATGCCTGACTCTGGCTCCTCCTGAGCGGGCCATGAATGACACTCTTGGTCCCACCCGTGGCCGAGGCACCTGGATTGACCGAGCACCTGTGCTCTCAGTTTCCTCATATATAAACTGAGGATCACGGTGGTTTACTAGAGTGAATTTATGCAAAGCATTAAAGTCCCTTTTAAATCTAGCGTATCTCTCATCATCGAATTTTTCTTTTTATGCATAGGCCTCGCAGGCTAGATTTTTCTCTCTACACAATACCCCAGGTGCAGAAAACACAAATTCCTAACGAGTTATGTAAGCCTCTGCATGGCGTGAGGTCGACCCTCATTTCTGACTTGGCTGTTTTCTTTATAGGAGGGATGCAGAATGAGTAGACCGAGGAGGTTTTAGAAATTCCTGTGTTCCAGGGAAAAAAAAATACCTCCCAACATGGCCTTGAGGCCGAGTCCATTGCCTGCCCGGCCACCCCTACCTGACCCTGTTTCGGCACCAGACACCCTTGGTTCTCCCAGCTGCGGCCGCAGGCGCTCTTACTCAGGATGTAGCCTATTAACCAGCTCCCCTTGCTGACCAGCCCTTGGATCACGCGAAAAATGAACGACCACGTATAGGTCGGGGCAACGGCCAGGAGAACTCCAGATACAGCGTTGATGAAGATTGTAGCCAAGAGGCAGAGCTTACGGCCAAACCTGCAAGGCAGAAGACAGAGAGAGGGAAGCAAACTGGATTAGATGCTTGAAGGCCGCGGCTACTTCTGAGTTACCGGGACGCAGGAAGTGTGGATTCACACCCACCGGGAGAATCTGACTTCGGGTCAGTTCCGCCCAAGCCTTTGCATCAGTGCACAGCGCCCACATTTTAGGCGCAGGGGCCCCGCTCACCCCAGGACTGGAGCCCTACGCCATGGACGGTGCGGGGGGAGAGGGCGGCTCGCCCTGGCCACCCCCTGCTGGGGGCCTGGGGCCTGCCTGGTCTCCCATCACCGCGTGAGCTGGGGCCTCTGCACAGAGCGTGCCAACCAGCGGCCCACCCCGGAGCCTTCGCTTTGGGGAAAACAAAATGTATGGTTCAGCGTGTGCCCCGCATGTTTCCTAACACTGCTTTTGGACTTTGTGGTGTTTGCGCATCTCCATGGCAATGGTCTTTGGAGCCTCACCGTCCAGGAGTCAGTGAGGCCCCACTGACTGCCACCCCTCGGCCTTGGTAGCCGAGCACCCTGGGAGGGTAGCTTTCACATGTGCTGTTTGAGAGCCGTGGGCTTCATCAGCGTAGGGGCCCGGAGCGGGTGCTGCTAGCACGCAGGGCAGAGGGAAACTTGGGAACCTGCGCTGAACCTCGGCCTTCCCACCGAGCGTGATGCTGGGTGAGTTAGTCGACCTTTCTCAATGTCCTCCTTTGGAAAAGGCCTGCCTGACCCAGACAGCGCTGACTATGCCTTTGGTGAGTCCCCAAAGACTCACGGTGAGACTCACGGTGAGGGGACATGGTGGGTCCCTTCTCACAGCCTGTCACGTGTGCACGCACACAGGCCTCAAGGAGATGCAAAGCCAGCAAAACTTCAGACAACTGAAGAAAAACAAAACAGAGGCATGCGCACAGCTTTTTCAATAAAGGAGTGATCACTTTTACGTAGGAGATTTAAACATTATGAACAAAGTAATGAGACCATTCAGAAGGTGGATAATTGACCAGGGACTATAATTCAAGGACGCACTGCCAATAGAAAAGTGTAACTTCTCTCCTCCTCCTAGGGTGGCACGAGAATAATTAACTCATTTATTCAGCCAGCCTGGAGGCTCAGCGCCTGTCTGCCGCTGTGCGTCTAGGTGAGTGTTGCTCTCTGCGCCTTCGAGTGAAGGAGGGCGGAGAAGGAGCCGGGGCGGGTCGCACGGCCACACGCCGGAGCCCAGGGGACCTCTCTGGACAACCGCCCTCAGCTCTGAAGCGACAGAAATAGCAGCGAACGGCCTTCCTCTTTGCCCCGCGAGTCTCCCACACAGCATCCCAGGGAGAGCTCTCAAGGGGGACGGAGCCGTCACAAGAGTGGTGTGATGCATGGCGCCGGCTCAGCCCCGCAGCTGTCACCCTCCGTCCCGCGACCCCCGTGGGCAGGGCTGTGACTGGGCAGATGCCCCTGGGCCTGTGACAGATTCAGCCATCCCTGACAACCTTGTTCTCAATCCAGCCTGACAACAGAACATAATAGGACAAGATGTTCTACTCGTGTCTAACATTATATTAATGGGTTTGGGTTTAGCTATAGCTGGGACACCAGGCATAGTGTGCATCTGCTTTACCATTTATTTCAGAATTAAATAAATATTTGTATTTTACATAAAACTATGATATAATTGTATAGTTATAGAACACTACATATTGTATATTTATATAAAATTATGTATTTCTCCAAAAGTATGTAATTATATAATTTATATATATTAACTATCTCTATCTCACTAGGTGACTGATGCTGGAAGAGAATGAAACTGTCCAAAGTGCTGAGCGCAGTGCCTGGCCCATGGAAAACGTTCTGCAAACAGACAGCATGACGAGTATTAAGTACTCAGCCCCGATGGCCCAGTTATCTAAAGCACTTAGTAAGTGTAAAACAAATTTTTCAGTTCCTTTTTTTTTTTTTTTTTTTGAGCGCTCCTAAAAATATCTCACTGGTCATCCACAGAGGAGAGAGGTGTGTCATCAGGAACCTTCAGCACAGTGAGCCTCGGGCCCTGTAATGACAGATGAATGACAGAGGCGGGATAGCTGGGCGTCCCTGAGCACTAGAACTGGAGGCAGACCACCTGCTGGACGTCCCCCACCAAGCGGTTTTCTGCGTCTCTCTCGCCAGTGATATGGATGTCATGGACGTGGCAGTGATGCTCGTGGTGTAGACAGACCCGCTTCCCTTTCACCCCGTCTCATCCTGGGCTCCACACCTGCAGTTGCGGCCCCAGGCCCTGACCCAGGAGGCCCGTGGTCCACGGCAGCCTGCGCAGACTCGGCGTGCGGGAGAGGCAGGCAGCGCATGGACAGAGCTCAGAGGCCTGGGGGCGCATGGCCGGGTGGGTGGCGATGAGGCCCGAGATGGGACTGGGCGCCACACGAGATCAGATCGCCCACCGCTCTCCCTCCTAACCTTCAGCTTCCGGACATCCCCCGAGGAGAAACTGCTGCCTCACGCCAAAGCATCCCTCTGTGACCCAGAGCGCTGGAAAAGGAGGAAAGACATCGGCCACGCTTCTCTTGCCCGCAGAAGCAGCCTGAGATGGCCAAGGCAGGCGGCGTGATTCGGGAAGCATGGTGCTCAAGCAGCGGCCGGTGACCCTGAGCGCTTTCGGAGCCCGTGGCACCCACCTGTCTGCTATGTAGCCGATACTGATGGCGCCGATAAAAAATCCTGCGTTCACACCCGACTGAAACAGGTCCAGCATCCAGGAGCGCGCACACACTAGGTCAAACTGCAGAGGGTGAGAAGGCCCCAGGCCGGGAGAGAAAGAAGACAAGGCCTCGTTAGACTCCCCTCGGCCGGGGGAGCTCACCTGCATCCCGTGCATCAAATGGAGGGGCGGAGGGGCAACAAACCCACTGTTGTCTTGCCATGATATCAATTTTCTCTGCACAACCAAAAGATCCATCCTGCAATCTATTTAGCATTCTGTTTGATAGTATGTCATTAGGCTAAACTCTATTGTTGGCTAAATTGGCTGACATTGGGTAATACTTCATTTTTGCACAAAACCATTTCCTTTTCTAATTTTAATACACAGAAGCAAAGACGTGTATGAACAGAGCCCCAAAGCCACCGGAGGAAGCGGGGCTGTGCAGGGTCCTGCTCCTGCCTCTTTAACGGCTGGGGGATGAGGAGCACCCTGCTGTGTTTGCTCTTGTCTGGAGCAGGTGCTGGCCCAGAAGTCAGGAGATCCGGTTGCCAGGGCTAAGTGCTAATTCTCTCACCCTGTGGCCTTGGGCAACATTCTTCCCTGCGCGGGGCCTCAGTTTCCTCCTCCCTGTAGGAAGGGATGGGTGTAGCCACCCTGTAAAACCTCTCAAAGTCGCGTGGTGTTAAATCTGTGATCTCCGCGTCTTGTGCAACTATTAGACCCCTTTAGATCCTCAGAAAAGGCCCCTTGACTTAAATGTTTATTCATACAGAACATCTTTTAACATGTCATGCATGCAGTCTTTTAAAATTAAGCTAGGCAACTGGTGTTCTCCGTATTTCCAGAAAAATTGCATCTCCCTTCCCCTCAGTTTGCTTTGCTGCTAGTGAAAGCAAGTCTCTATTTTTTATTTTCTCTGTATTTATTGAAATGAGGTTTTGCAATTAGATGTTGATGTTGACTGTAGTTTTTAATAACATAATAGTACCATAGCATAAGCTCTGAGACCACATGGTTTCATGTGGACTCTGAGCAAATTAAATAGAAAAAAAGCCATTAAGAGACAATTACATTGTTTCATGTGTATCAGTTCCAGTGAGTTCTCTGAGCTTGAAGAAAGACTGGAGGGGAAGGTAGGGATTCCCCAAAAAAGGGAAGCTTGAAGATTTTCCCTTTCCTGGCATTATTTCCAGGGATTTTAATATCTTTTTGCTTGTTTCTTACTGGAGAGAGTTGCATAAATGAGAATCATTATTGCCTGAATTTGATCAGGATTAAACTAACCCACTCATACTCCAGATGAGTAAGAGTCTGCGCGCTTTTGTCAGAAGCTGGGATTTTGTAAGATACCTTGAGTCCAAAGAGTGCGCCTGGGCCTTATTGGCTTCTTCCTTAAGAAAAGCAGCATCATTTGCTCTCTGGTTTCTAAGTCCGGCCTCACTTACCTCCGTCACCATGGAGGAGCCGGGGGTGTCGTACACCCAGCCGTGCCGGCAGGGGCCCAGCGGCAGGTGGCTCCTGTTGATGGCCAGGCTGGCCAGCGGGTCCGCGCAGTCCAGGGCGCTCTGGTTCCAGTCCACCTCATAGCTGCGGCACTGGCTGGGGAAGGCCTCGCCTGCCGGCCCCGGACCAGGCACCGTGAAGTTCAGCTCCTCGGCCAGGCTCCAGCCGCATCGCCGGCTCAGCTCGGCCGCGCCGGGGCTCAGGCAGCGGTGGTCCGGGGTGAAGCCCAGGAAGACAACACCCACATAGATGGGGGCAAAGAACGCCGAGAGCAGCGCTAAGAGGAAAAACGCTTGTTTCTGGAAGAAGCCGAACTCCCCTATGTGCTCCAGAATGTCATCCACGGTTGGCATTATTACGGCAGGCAGGAGAGGTCCTGGTACGGGTCCCGGCTCTGCCACGAATGTCCCTGAGAGAGGCTGTGGCCAGCTCAGCACAGCTCTTGACCGAAAGTCCAAGTGTGAGGGTGAGTTTGCTTGAGGCAGAGAGCAGCCTTTGGCCCAGACCTCTCCGTGGCCGGGCCGGCCTCCCGCGGGGCCCTCCTCCGGCCCCTGCTGCTCTCCTCCACGCCTGAGCTGGTGGCCGGGCCAGATGTTGTGCTGATTGCAACATCGCCCTCCACGAGCTTGTCACCCCATACCAGCACCACAAACAACCCTCCCTCTGTGTCACGGGGCGAGAAATTGGAGCGCTCACACACCACAGGCCTGTTACTCTTTCCTTAGAAAACCAAGCGCAGGAAGTGAGTGCGTTTGCACCTCGCCCATACCGCCCACCTTCTGCCCAAGGGACGGGGGAGCGCGCACGTCTTTGGCTGTGCTTGCCTGGCGCGATGTGACTCACGGGCTCGGGTCCGAGCCTTTGTCCGTATTCACGGAGGCGGGCAGCTCCTACCGTGGGTCCGCCAGGCCCTGGGTCTCTGCTGCAGCTGCTTGCTCAGCGTGTGTCTGGGTTTTACAATTCTCCTTTTTAAAGAAGGCCAGTTCCCGCCTCTCAGCCCTGAAGCGTCTTTCCCTTGGCCCACCTGGGAGGAAAAATGGTCGCCACACATGTAAGCCAAGCGTAAGCCAGGAGCGTCCTCATGGTGCTGTCTTGCTGTTTTAGCTGTTTCTGCCTGCAGTCAGGGTGCCCCGTTAAGATGACGTTGGGTGCACCCGGATGCGAGGGAAACAGGTGACCCCTTACCTGCTGGGTGAGAGGACCGGGACTGCGGTGGGAAGCTGCCACACAAAGGCGGCCTGTTGACGGCTCTGCACCTTAGAACACCAGACAGCAAACCCACGCTTCTTTCCTTTTTTCCGCTGCTGACTGTTCGGTGGGTGTCATAGCACGGCCTGGGAGTACAGCTCGGGAGGTCGTCCTCGCTGCAGCGACTGCCTTTTGTCTTCTTGAAAAAGCGAGAAGCCGGGTGCCCGTGGGGACCCATCTGGCCCCACGGTGCCTTGGCCCGGTCCGCAGAGGAGCTCTGCGCAGTGGTGACAGGGCGGCAGGACATACGTCACTGCCCCTGCCAGCTTGCAGTTGTCAGAGTGCGCGGGTTCAGGACGCAGACCCATGAGCCTGGGTGAGCATTTCTGGCACAGAAGCCGTGGTCACAAAGGTCATCCAGGCAGTTACACCCGCTGACCTGTCAATAGGGAAAAACAAAATGAATGAGAGCAGGATGACAGTTCTGGTGGTACAGTAGGTTCTCACGTGAACCTATGGCGCCCTCCGTCGGCTCTGCCACGGGAAGCGAAATGACGTATAGCAAACCTGTTTTACCCTGCAGCGACTGATACGAACGCGAGTTAAGTTCCTGCAGCATCTCATCCACGTTGTGAAGAAACCGCGTTGAACGAAACGCTGCCATGTGAGGACCTGAGGCCCGGTGGCTGGCCAGGGAGCGCGGCAGGCGGCTGTGGGCAAGGGCTGCGCTCCGGAGGCAGCCAGCCACCGCAGGCTGGAAACGCCGGTCTTCCGGAAAGCTGCGACGCGCCCCCGCGGTCCTCGTGGGAGACGGGAAGGATTGGCGGACAGTGATGGGGCCGCAACAATGGCTACGCGTGGCACACATGGCTGTGGCCGTGAATTTGGTGACGCTTTGCAGTCCTTTGCTCAGGAGCTCTCTGATGCAGGGATATTGTTCAAATAAAATTTAAAAATCATTAATAAAATAAAGGCCAGATAAATAATCCTGACCGGCAAAAAGATAAGCCAATGTCAAGCAAGAGATTTGCACCTTTCACTTCGGCGTCTCGTTTCGAGTAGATGTGCTTTCCCTTATTCTTCCTGGTGAGTCCAGCTAAACGCCCTGGACACTGTATGTAAAACAGCCATAAGACAGCTGAACAGTGGAGAGAAGGCACCCTGGCTAGGGACCCCAAAAGTGACATGGTGGGGGTTAGCACCCCAGCTGGGTGCCAGGGAAGAGACGGGCCAGAACTCCCAGTGGGTGCAGACATCAAAAGCCTCCCCAAAGCCCGCTCTCTCTCAGCTCCCAGGGATAAGTTAGAGCTTTTCAGTGACTCCTGTGGACACTTCGTCTCTAAATTCTCTCGGGCAGCCTCTCTTCAGCCACGAGTTAGCATCATCCCGCACACAGATCTTGAAAGAACGCCAGAGCCCCGTGAGACGGCACGCCGCTTTGGAAGCCGCTGCCCGCAGTTCTGCCGTGTGATCAGTCACCTGAACGAGAGTGCTGGGCACCACGGATGTGAGGCCCCGGTCGGGAACAACCGGCAGGGACCAGGTGTCCCCCAGTCCGGCCTCTGCCATCCACTCAGCCATGGAGGCTGTCAGCGTTACTGCCCGATATTTCTAACTTATGGGAAAATTCAGTCTCTTCTAGCTCTGTCCCTGTCCTTCTGAGGTGACACCGATCACGCGATGGACACTGGGTAGCATCGCCGTGCTGACGTGGGGAGGCTGAGGCCATCTGTGGTTGCTGCTGGGAGTTAAACATGGCCGCCTTCGGCTTCGGTCTTAGCACCACGGCCTCCGTCTCCATCCTCCTCTCTGTCCCCGAGCACCACTGGCCAGGACCAGAGGAGGACGGGAGGGTGACGCAGCCCCCGGTGGACAGCATGACGGGGGCGGGGCGAAGGAAGGACGCTCACCTCTGCTGAGCCAGGCCGGGCTCCCCGCAGCCTCCGAGGGGCCGCGTCCCTGTGACGCGCGGAGCACCCCCGTGGGGTGGCTGGGGGTGCTCCTACCGCACAGATGACGAGACTGAGGACCAGAGCCATTTGGGGGCGTCCTCGGTGTCAGCCACCCAGCCACTTAGGGATGAGTCAGGACCTGGGGGGAGGGTGTCCCCACACTTCCCCTGCCCTTTGTCATTTGCCGGAAGTGCTGTGGGGGTGGGGGAGTTAAAAAGTGACCAAGGTCATAAACCCCCCTCCCATCCCAGGGGCCCAGAGGTGGCCCCAACTGCCTCTCACTAGGAAACGTCACAGCCTCGCGTCCAGGATTTGACTCCCTGTCGAGACAGCAGGTGTACATGCTGCGAGCAAGAGGGCACCAGGTGAGAGGCAAGGAAGAGTGTCGCTGGCCAAGGAGAAGAGATGTTGAAATCCACTGTGGGTCACTTACAAAACCCCCAGATAAGGAGGAGGCGAGCACGCAGATCACTTACCGCGCTGGGCGCGCCCTGCGCTTGGTCCAGCCCCCAGCTCCCAGGGCAGCAGAGCCCTCAGCGGGGCGGCCGTCAAGCCCTCCCCTTAGGTGACAGCAAAGCCACCTGGCAGTGAGCAACCAGAGGGGGAACTTGCGACGGAGCCGATCGCCCCACCGTGGCGGGGGGGCCTGTGCGCTCGAGTGAGACCGGGGGCCGATCCGCCCCAGTGCTGCCGGGGCACCTAATCCATGTCATTGGACGGATTACTGTGATGCGTGTCAGAGGTATTTCTCAATCTTTTATCAGGTTACTTTGTAATGTAAGTAGATACTGACCCCAGGATGCTATCGTCTGGCAGCTCCAGGGAAGGCCACTGGTGCCCAGACTCAATCGCCCAGCTCCTCCAGCACAGGACAGGGAGCCCTCAGGGGGGCAACCGTGAAGCCCAGCCAATGCCAAGCCAGGCGGCGGGACGGCAGGGCAGGAGCGGGTGGTCCGTCAGCGAGGTGGAGGCGGCGTCGCCGGTTTTGCCGCCATGTGTTCTGCAGGATGATGCTGGCAGCGGCTCCCTGACAAGGGGACAAGGCACCGAGCCACTCAGCCGCGGCCGCGGCGCTCAGCCGAAGTGCACCCGAGATGGGGGTGACTGAATGACGCCTGTCTCACAGCGATGCGTGTTCCCTGGGCGGCTCACGGGGACAATGGCGGCAGGCAGGGCAGGACCGGGGGACGTCGGGGGAGAGTCCGCATGGCCAGGCTCTGGTCCGGCCTTGCCCTACAGCCCCACGTCACCCCGGCAAGCACCTGACTTCTTTTGTAAGTTGGCGATCACTCACATTAGAGCTGAGGGGTGACACTGTGCAGGACGGCTGAGCACCGTGACTCGCGGTAGCTGGTAGTCACTCCCGGGACCGCCTCCACTCCCCCCTCCCTTCTGCCCTTTTCCTGCCTCCTCCCCCACCCAGCTTGCGCTTGCCTTTGTCTGCTTGATCCTCGGTTGCCACTGCCAGGTGTTTGGGCACAGGGCCCTGTGGCCGGGCATAGCGGCAGGAGATCTGCCTTCACCCAGAATCGTGGGCTCATAGAACCTCCTGCGCGGAGGGGACCTCAGGAGACATCAGAGCAGCACTGTCTGATGCTTCCATCCGCCACCCACACCCGTCCCAAGCAGCTGCCCACCTGCTTGCCGGTCAGGCGAGCCCACTCCCTTTGGACACCACTGAGGGCTGGAAAGGGCCTCCTTGGGCTGTGCCAGGATTCATCTTCCAGGACCCTCCACGCACACGGACGTTACTCTCTCCTTTAGGGTCAGATAGGTTACGTTAAAACTTTTCTATACGGAACCTCAGCTATTTGAAGACGGCCTTCTTTGACCTTAAACTCTTCTCTTGTCAAGTGAACGCCCCAGCTCCCCACAGAGCAAGAGTTCTAGCCTCCTAACCAGCTGCTTTGTACAAGGACCATGGTTCCTGGGTCAACAGCATCTGCCCTCAGCAGGTCATTGAAGCAAATCACCAAGCTTCTCATGGACATCATTAATACCTCCAGAAACTCTTCCTTTTCCTACGGAAGACAAATTTAAGGAGAAAAAAGACTAGGAAAGAGACTTGCAGAACTTCTGGTTGAAATGGGAGAAGCTCAACGCCACCAGTAGCATGGGGTTTCCTAGAAGCCCCAGGCAGAGGGGCACCTGACTCAGGCTTTGGGGAAGGGTGGGGGTTAGCAAAGAGAATACGGATTTTCTAAACAAAGCCTCTGTTGGAAAGGATACATGTGAAAGGGCACTTGGTGGGGAAAACAGTTTTGCCTTAATGTACTTTTAAAATCTGTGTGTAGGCCCAACAACCACAATATGCGGGAGGCCTTGCCTACCCAGTTCCCTCTGTCTTGGACCTTCACAAGCTTGGTGTCTCTTTCAGCACCAAAGATATTATCCAATGAAATCGTTCATTTGGCAAACAACTACTAAGGAAGCCTCCTAAAAGATGAATTTTAATGCCCGGGTGTACGTTCTACCCTGGAAGACTTTGAATCAGTGTCAGCTGCCGCTGTAAATATTCATTGAGAAAGACTTAGGAAGCTTTAATCTAAAAATAAAATGTTGTTGTTCTAAACATTAAAAAAGTGTTTCTCTGCTCTCTCTCTCCCTTCCTCTCTCTCTAAAATCAATTAACATATCCTTGGATGCAGATTTTAAAAAGTGCTTATCGCCCACGTATTTTTGATAATAGTAAAAATCATTACTTATACGAAAGATAAATAACTTGGGGCAGTTTAAAAAGAAGGGATGTGGAAGGAAGATCCTGAAATGCTATCTATAGAACAGTGGGACACTTGGGTTGGGTGTTGCCCTGTCGAAAATCTCGTCCAATCTAGTTGAAACTGGGTTTCTCACCCCAGCAGCATCCTGGTCTCTACCCGCTGGATGCCAGGAATACCCCTGCCCCCCAAGTTATGATAAACTGTCCCAGACATTGCTGACTGTCCCCAGATGAGAAGCACTCGTGCAAACGCCGTATTTCAGAGCTGAGAGATTGAGGCCCGGGGAGGTAAGTTGTGGGCCACAGGCAGCTGGTCAGAGCAAACCCGGAAGGAAGTATCATCGCTGTTCCGCCGCCGCCTTTCCCTGGCCCTGCGCGGAAACCGTGCCGGCACCTCCCGGCTGATACCACGCAGTTCTCTCTGCGCCACAGCTTTGATTGGGCTCAGGCTCCCAAAATAATGTGGCTTCTGTTGAAAACCTCAGACTTGGGGAGCGCGTGCCGCGCTGTCTCCAGGTAACCGAAGAACCAAGGTATTCGGGAAATTTCAATGATGCTCATTGAGCTGGTTCTAAGTGACCAAAATGTTCCTCCCACGCTCCTTTTCTTTTTGAGAAAGTATCTGTTTCTCTTTCCATCTCCTTTACCTGTGAAATAACAAATGCCTGAGCCAGACCCAAGGATTTCGGTACATTTGACCATTCCCCTTGGTACCGGGGACTGGGCCACCCTGTGCTTGCCATTAATAAATATGTCCGTACATAGCTTTTGTTCATTTGATAATGGGGCATAATGTGTGAAAAGCTGAAATTCACATCACGAAAATTTCTGGTTTTACCTGGAAATCTT